ATGTATATTAAACTTCTAGGATAGCTTCATAAATGGCATTTTTCCGGTTTGCTCACCAATACGATTTTCATCGAACATCGTTCTGCTCAGGAATGTTTTCCCACGCTTTATAGTGTTTAAATAAACCCGAGTCATTTTCACTAATTTGAATTATATCTCAAAGGCCTTGAAACGGACATTTTATGTTTGCCGTAAGCAACAAACAAAAGGCCGTCTACYCGTATTGCTYGCAAGCAGAACATACCGAGCTTAAATATTGTATGCTGAAGGAATTTATTTTGAATAGCGTGCTATTATAGTATTTATAACCAGCTGAATAAGGTACTTACATTATGGTGTGTTTTTCTTCGCTTGTTTTAAAAAAGGGGCAAATATTGTCCATTTCCATTACGGTTTAAATTTTTTTTGTTTTGTTACTGCAGGAGATGTTAAACGCGGTATTCACCATAMAAACTTCCAAAACGTTRTGAGTTTGCTAATACTTGTGTTAGTGCTTTTGATTTGACAGGTAACCGGATGCATAAAATTAAACATCTTTTACGGTTTTCCCTAATTAGAGGGAATTCAGTCAAACTGTTGAATAGTGTACGTCGCCTAAATTAGATAAGCTATTTACTATTTTAGCTGACGTCACATAAATTTGGAACTATGAGTAAACTGCTATACTGAGAACAGGGGAAGAAACGATGATACAAATGAATGTCTTTTCACTCATTCTCTGGTAAAACAACCCCCGGATTAGCATGACCGTTATTTGGCGCGCTTTTACTATTTTAGTTGACGTCAACAACATAGTTATAATTAGTCTAGTACTATCCAACAGTTTGAGCATGCAAGAAAGAAAAAATAAAACCAAAAAAATAAAAAACTAATGTAAAGGATTACAAGAATTAAAAGATATTATCATGTTTAATAATACTATTATAGTATTTTCAAAAAGATGAAATAGACGAAACGAGCCTTGCTTATAAATAAACTGCAACCCGAACCCATAAGCGAACTAGAGGAGTGCGAACTCGCTCCTTCCGATGTTTACTGACTCGGAAATCACCATTGTTTTTATATAATAGCTGGAATGCGGGCCTGCATTACATCAACCAGCAAATGGCATAGAAATGACAGTCATATGATTCAGGAAATACTGGAATGCGTGCCAACTGGATACTTTATTAACAGTATAAACTCATGATTATCCTCATTCAAAATGGAATCCACTGACGAAGAAGCACGTGCTCCGCGTAGTCCATCTGCAAACACGGGAAGAGCAATCCTAAAAGAGTTCATCGTAACAAACGAAAAACTCAGATGTGTTCCAAGGGGTTCTGATTTCAAGAATCTCGAGCGTAAAGGCAGGGTAAGGAAGCTTCGTATYCACAAAGCATGGTCAGAGGACATGTTGTTGGATCAGCTTGTAGCTTCCTTTCCTTGCCTTAACGGCATCGTAAAGAATCAGTAAGTCAATTCCAGTTATTCCATCGATTTTTTTTAAAGAGGCGTTATTAACAATTGACTAACAATTGTATTTGCTTCTTTTTTTTTAGATTGAGAACGTATAGATCAACAAGCAGGGGGAGCTCCTTCGAAAAAATCGCTGAAGGAGTCCCCAGCGTTAAACAACTGCTGGAGCGATGTAAAGGCTCGAAGTCAAAGAGAKTTTTTATTTTAGTTAAGCAAGGTAAACATTGATATATTGTTATATTATGCGAATATATATTACATATCATACATTATCGTATACAAAGGCCCTTCTATGCTTAGAAGCGGGTTAGAAAAAACAATGTTAAATGCGAACATATGATCATGTGGTATATGTATAGCAGAATTAATAGTTTTGCGCAGCACAATATTGGGACACCCTAAAACAGAACATATACAGTCCTTTACTTTTGGTATAGCTGCTATTTTTTGCATCAGAAAATAAGATAATTATTTAATTCTTTATAAAAGAAAATTACAATTGCTTGTAAAGGTAGCTGACAGGGGAAAAAAAAGCCAAAAAAAAAAACCCAACAAACTCGGAAACAACACTTAAAAATAACTTTATATATTTTTAAACATTCCAGCTTCACCAGCAGCAAAAAGGTTATTACTTTCAATGCGCGCTCTCGGCTGGTAGTATTAGATACCAATGCTAGCCGATGCTAGCCCTCTTGAGGACATAAAAGTTCGGACAGTGGTCGGAAAGTATTCGGAAACAAAAACGATGTTCAAAGATCATGTGACTAGTTTCCTCGCACATTAGTCTCTATAGTAGCCTGCTATAYATGATTAACTTTATACTGATTTTTAATTTTGATTTCTTATTCTGTGCTTTATTGATAATTTTACTTTGTAWTGTCTATTCTTAACTGTTATTGGTTTTTGCATATTTTCCAGGTTCATCTTCTYCAATCCAGTGCAAAAGTCCAAGAAGCACGACTTCGTGTAAGTATATTATTTATATRAATGGTGTACGTAGAAAATAAAAATAATTACTTTGATGTAATGAAATTGTTACCCACCCATATTGTTGTTTATAATAATAGATAATGCTTTATATTTTTAGATGTCCAAAGCAATAGAAAAAGGGCTGTTGCAGAAGTTTGTAAGTCCAATATCGATATTTTTCAGCTACATGCATAACCTTGATTTTTGAAATATAGCATAGCAAATGACATTTCTAAAATCAATTATGGTTCACAATATAATAATCTTTTAAAATGATGTGTGTACAATATGTCGAAATTAGATATATTGCTGCTTGGATTACTCGATTTATGGTACGCTCAACAAAGTTACTCAACTCTGATTGGTCGACAGGAGTACAATATTTATTATAGCGTTAATTAGTACCGAATTAAGTCGCTATGGCAACACGGCCAAAACAAATATTTTCTATCATTTTAAACTCAAAAAACATAAATAAAATTTTCAAGCAGTTAGAACTGTTTTTTATGCAGGCCAAAAACATTTTTTAATGAAATTTTGTTGAATGAACTATAAACAAAAAAAACTTTCTATACAAGTTGCTTTTTGTAATCAGTTTATATGAATATGAATTTTTCTACAGATGACGACTATGATAATGAAACGGGAGACAACGACTCAGATGATAATCAGGTTGAAATTGGTAAGCACGTATATTTTGTTGAACAGGTGACATGTTTAAGTATGGACCATGCCATTAGATAATTGATTAGGGGGGGGGGGAGTTACACTAAGGAAATTTGGTTGCATCATTTATTTCTTTGCCTCATATCCTTGCACATACTTTTATTTGCGTACAGCATTTGTCAAATACACTGTGGTGTAGCACTATTAATCTTTACGTAATGTGAAATGCATGCATGTATATTTATTATATACTGTTTCAATATTGCAGGATTCAGCAGTGACGATTCAATTACTCATTCTAAACCAGTTGGTAAGTTGTCTGTTTACTAAAATAAGAATTCTAGTATTGATTTGCAAACCATTTCGACAAAATTGTATGCAAATAATAGGTACATATACCAGTATTGAACCAAACTATTGTATTTCATGAGCAAGGTACTGTGGTTAGAGAAGGTACTGATTTGTAATACATGTAACAGCCCAATTCACTGTAGCTTTATATACATTACCRATGCTGTAGATGCATTTTCAAAAATTGGTCTGTTCTTTTGTTTAAAATTATTTTGTTGTGATAAATGCACCAAAATATAACTTCACATATAATTAACTTACATTTCTGCTAGGATATATTATCTCATTTTAAATGTCTGCTCTTTTAACTTGATGTGTGAACATTTGTTTTATATACTTGCAGATGTCAACAAGAAAGAAAAAATTAAAAAATTAAAAAAAAACACTTCATCAATTTGTGAGTTAAATATTCATTGATTCCTACTGTTAAATTACTAGTAGTAATAATACCATGATCACCTTCTCGGGTTCTTTTGTCTTCCGAGGGCTTTACAAACCCGAATTTACCGCATGCATAGAACATGAGAGAAATTTAGAAGACAAAGAAATACTTTGTCTTCTACTAAATTTCCCTGTTGCATATATTAAATGTCGGGACATTTAGTAATGGTATTACTAATCATTTAAYGGTCATGATATTTTCACCTGTGAAAAATAGAAAAAGAGAAAAATAGGTATTTTATGGATAATTATATGATAAATACATATTCATTGCTTCCTTTATTCATTTGTTTTGGCGGATAAAGGAGGCAATGTTTTTTTTTTCATAATAGACAGTCTGAAATTAACTATTATTTATGTACAATGATTATTTACATTAACAGCTATACACACAAGTCCAGGCTATACTGGGAATTCTCTTGCACACAACTCCAAATTGCATGAAACTTCTTGTAAGTAGCTTTATTAGTTCTTTCCCCTAGTAGTATGGGTATGGTTTTATTGGACAAAAAAAAAACCATATACTTGCAAAGATTCTACATTGGCTGCATGGACATATTATTACTCTTGGCAATACATGTATGTAATATGTGAAAGGAGACCCAATACCGAGTTTTAGATTTTGTTTCCTTCACCGCTACAGCTGTACCCACAAATCCATCAAGAGGAATAAAGGACAACCCTCCACGATTTTCCTGTGAGTATAGCCTCAAGAAACAGCAACKWAAGATTGAAGTTGTTATCTCAATTGAAATCAATTTATATATTTCCACTTCTTAATAAAAAACTTACTTGTATAAATTTAAACAGTTTGAGTGAAAAGAGAAGAGATAAATAGATCATATTACAATTTTTTTTTTCTTTTTAAATTTTTAAATTTTTCAATTTTTCTTTCACAATTTGATGTAACACACTTCTTTTCTTTTAAATAGCACACAAACGTATATACATTGGAGAAGGACTGGTTGGTAAGCTCAAAAGTATTATCTTTCCTCCTTTGTTGTCCCAATACATAAGTTTTTGTTCTTGGGGTTAGTAAACAATTATTAGGACATACCACAGAAAATTGGAGGAAATTATGAAACTATGAATTGAAAGTGAGGATAAATTTTGAAATAACAAAGGTTTCAAGCATAAGAGTGTTTTTTCATTTAATTTCAATTAATGTCCATTTATCTCCCTTGACAGTCTCTAGACCAATCAAAAAGCAATAAAATTAACAAATTAATTAAATTAAATTAATGTGGTAAAAACCATGTYRCCATATATGRCATTGTCATACCATATGTCATATCAACATATAATAGGGATAACAAAATAATGCTCATGTCTGATCCTAAAAGTGATCTTGTATACATATACATTTGTAGTGGCAAAACTGTTGTAAAAAGTATTGAATTATTTAAAAATATATTTTGCAGTTGGCAAATTACAAGAGGAAAGGGAACTGATCAGCATTGTGGATGACTCAGGTATATATAATATTATAACATGTTAATATAGTAATCATTAATAATGTTATGGTAACAATGATGATAATAATGTTAAGGGAGATTAAGGTAGAACTTAACCCGGGAAACAGACAAGAGAGTAAACCAAACAGTTGGGCATGCACTATCTTTTATACTCTAACTGGTTCTTTTCAATATATTATCTGATTCTTCAATAAATTTTCTGATAATAGAAATGTTAACATTCTTTTACATTTGGTTCAACATCTCTAAATTAATTATGTATTTGAAAATGTTTTTTAAAAGAACCTCACACATGGAACTAAAATYGACAATGCAACTACTGACTTCTCTTAGACAATCTAAATAATGATTAATTTCGACAATAAAGTTGTGGGATTATAATAAAATTTAAAATGAAATTAATTTAAAATAAAATTAATTATAGTTATGTATTCCGATCAAAATATTATTCTTATTTTAAAAAGCCAAAACACAGCAGTTGCTGAACAATGAGGGCATCAGGATTATTGTCCTCCCTGATGTATATAATGTGGATGAGGTAATAGCAAATGTGCTTGTTTCCATGTATGTGCGTAATGATGCCTATGAAATATCTCTATAATAATATTGCCCTATTTTAACTTTCTGATGTCAAGTATGCGAAATCCAATAGAAAATGCAATAAAAATTGGTCCTAGCAAAACAGTTAATCTAAAATAGCCTGGTTTTCAGATATAATACAGTATGTGTTAATATGTATGTACTTCTATGTAAATATTATTAGCGTTTGCTGGCTATTCTACTTCTCTTTATGAAAGAATACAATTTTCGGCTAATTTCCATTTCAACAATAGATTGTTGAAGATTGTTTTGTTGTTATGTGAAATATATAGGGCAATCATATTAACCCTTTGACTTTTCAAATCCAGAAACTTCATATCAATGATTGTGAGCACAATTTTTGGTCACCTTTGCTCTGGGAATACAGGCAGAATAGCGAGTTTGGACCTTAATAGTCAATAGGTTAACTGTAGGAAAACGGATAATATATATATTTTCAAAAACATGAGGTTTTGACTATAACAAGTGATGGCCCTCTTCAGAATAATATATAGTATATATATGTAATGGTTTATCTATACTCCACAGGCATGCCAACAAGCTATTCACCTTGGGCGGTGTATTCTGTTCATCATGGGAACACCTTCCGATAAAGAAGTCATTTCTTTTTTGAGGTATGTATCTGCATTAAGCTAAGGTGGCTGAAATTTATGTTTTAGAAGATGGGAGTTATATTATACCAATTAGTATGATATTGCAGTACATGCGAGGTTAATTAATGTTCTGCCCTTAATAAATTTTTACTGATTGACTAGCTCTCACTGATCAGCTTGAAATATATTTTAAAATCATTAACATAAATATTTCAAATATTATTTTATGTGTCAATGATTCCAAAATGAACTCTGCACGAAATATCATTGCGGCATTTGAATAGGACTATAACGCATGAATGATGCTTGTTTCTTAAACAATAGTTTATAATAATATAATTACACTGTGCTTTTGAGCTCATTGGAATATTATATAGTTAATTAACATCCTCCTTTATGGACTATAATTTCCTTTAAACTTGCTGTCAGCTGGCACCTCATGGTAAATTTTCTGATATGTTCTAGTCAAACCCATATTACAGACTATGAAGTAAATTCTTTATAACATTTGCCACATATAGGTCCCTTAGTGCCATGTCCATGGAAATCTTATTCCCTCTTTTGGTGCTGTCGAAGCCTGGCACCTTAAAGACCAAAGAAAGTAAGACTCTATYATTCTTATTTTTCTTTCTTTCCTTTTTTTTAATGACATGCATCTTTTATTCACATTTCCTTTTATATAATTGCATCAAATTACATATTTAGATATTTGAAAAGAAAGAAAATTATACTTATTTAGTCAAATATATCAAGCTAAATATAAGTTGAAAGGAAATGCCCAGACCATTAATAATAAATATTTCCATATAGTTTCCTATCAAGACACTAGTCATGTTTTGTGT